GTTCCTGGATTCCTGGAAGTGTCCCAGACCAGGCTGGATGGGGTTTGGGCACCCTGGGACAGTGGGAGGTGTTCCTGTCCATGGAGGGGTGAGATGGGATGAGCTTTAAGGTCCCTTCCATCCCAAACCATTCCATAATTCCAACTGTAGTTATGTAAAGATCTTTGTAACAGAAATGTCGTATTTGAGGAGTGCTTTGAATTGATTTAAAGGAAAAGTGGGCTGAGGAAGAGGAAGAACACATGGGACTATTGGGTTGGGCTGAGGGAAATGGCATTTTCCAGCTTTTCCCACAAAATCAGCGGGGAATATTTGCCACAGGGCAAGTTGGAGGGAATTCTTTAATTKATCAATAGCACTGGAAATGTTGTTGGAAATGTTGTCCAGGAGAGAGCTCAGCTGCTGCAACCAGAGCAGCTCCATTCCACACCCTAAGCAGAGCTTTAGAATATATTTTTATTTTTTTAAAGATGRTGTTTACCCTGGCTAATTAATATCAGAGAGAAGATTTATGTTTTGTGCATGTTTTCCTGTGTTAACAAGGCATTGGATGGCTTTGATTATCCACTTTGGAATGCTGCCCCRTGACTTGGGAAAGCCATCAGATATTTCAGTAAATAGCTTTGTTTACAAGGGGCTGCTCAGAAGAATTATTCGGAATTAATMATTTAAAATAGATTAATTAAATTAYGTTAAACTTGTGTGTGGAAAAGCTAATCTGGAATTCAGGTGAATTTAATTTAGTTGCTTACAAATATTAATTTACTTAATTAAACAAAGGCTGATTGAATTCTGYGTTAAGTGTATCAATTCTGAGTAAGAGTATTGGCAAAGATATTTAATGTAATTTATCTAATCAGCTTTAAATTTATATCTTTAGCTGTCTGTGATGAGTTTTTTTGAGTGTTCCAGTACTGGAGCCACTTCCAGGCACTTATAGGGATGCTCAAGGCATTTTGCTCCCTTTTTTAAGGGAAAATGAGGGAAAATGATCCACCAGGAGCARTGTCTGGTGGGATTATTGGATGAGGGGCTGAAGAAGGGTCTGGCCTGGGCTGGGGAAAGGGGGGATGGTGGAAGAGCTGCCCTGGGAATGGGTCTGAGGGGCTGGGAATGTTTGGGGTGACTGGGATTTCACAG